CCATGGACAGAGGAGCTTGGCAGGCAATGGTCCATGGGGTCACAAAAGAGTTAAACATGACAGTGACTAAACAAGAACAACCAAAGAGATTAGCTAATTTTATCCAAAATTTTTCCAACACAAGGCATCCTTTTGTGTTGTTTTCAGGTTGGTATATCTTCTGACAGTGGCATTTTATTTCCTTTTTTTCAACTTTTATAAAATTATTTATAGCCACTTGGGATTTCTCATACCCAGTTTGTAAGTTTGTTATTCTTTCTTTTCTATAGATAAAGGAGATATAATACAGAAAGTTGCTGTCCAAAGAACAAGATAAAATAATAGAAATATCATTTATTTTGTTTGCATTCTCCAAAAAGAAGCCTGCATTCCCTGGGCTTCATAAAAACTTACATCCTGGAGTTAATAATAAGAATGCATTGAATCAGTTATTATAATTTCTGTAATGTTTTGCTACTTAGAGGAACCTCAGAAGATTTTGCATATCCTCTGTTGATGTAGTTCTCTCTACTCGAAAATAGAGTAGGGAAGTAGGTCGGTGCAAGCACTTAAAGCAGAGTAAGCACTATCATTTTTCCCCCCAACATCATCATATTTTCATCTTGGCTCTGAGATCAATACCACCAGTGCCTGCTGGCTTAGTGCTTTCGAACTCACAGTCCAATTCCATGTGGCATCTGGCCTGGAGGAACCTTATGTGGCTCTTTGCCAAGAGCAAAAGTAGAATTGACACCCAGGATAGTATCGTAGTTTGTAGGTAGCAGAGATGTATGGGCTTGTGTCTCAGGCCTGCCAGCAGCTACTGAGTCCACAGGAAACATCACCCTCAAGAAACCCAGTTCACGGACTATTAAGCAGTAAGTGTTGGCCTTTGTTACTGTGTCCGGATTCTGTGTACTTCGTTCAGATTCTGCAGACACCTCTTCTTAGGGGTGTGATGTTGGAAAAGTCACTTTACCTCTATGACTCTCAGTTGCTTCACTTCCAAAACAAGGATAATAATTTCATCTTTGTGGAGCTGTTGTGGTGCTCTTGTGTCCTATACCTGGAAAAGTTGTTTGGCAAAGAGTAGGCTGTCAATAAGTCTTTGAATTTGAGTCTCATTCCTGCCCTGTGGTGGGGGCCAAGGATCACTAGGGAGGGCAGGAAGGGAGCTAGTCTAATTTCCTAAGTCCGAGATCAGATTGCAATAAATAGAAGGTGTTACTGAGAGTCTTAGTGAGAGTTGGGGTATCTGTTCCCATAATTACCCTTCTTTGTAGATCAAATTGATTTCGCTGTGGCCTCTGGCAAGTACCCCAAAAGGTTTAACTGTCGCACACATGATTTCTGGCTTCCCTAGAAGTATCAGCGCTTATAGCCCCATGAGGACAAAAGAAGTCAGTAAGTCTCCTATAGAGACAAATATCAGCCAGGAAGAAAGTTAGAAGTCCAAAGAAGGAGGAACTCGTGTGTTAGAACTAAGTGACCCAGGCTCCTGATAACATACCATCGGGATCCAGGGCATGGGATTCAGCAACACAGGGGTCATCGATGGGATAGGACCACTGATGCTTCGATCAGGAAGATGTGCCTTTGCTGTGAGTTTGTGTAACAGCTAGACATTGTTGGACTTAGTTAATGGATAGTCATGCTCTTAGCATTTGATGCTGACATTTGGAACATTTGTTTGCAAAATGGGCAGGTAGTTGGGAAGGATTCAGGTATGGAGGAGAGGTGCCCATTCATGGGATCCTGTGGGAATAGAAAGGGAGGCAGTCTCCGGACTTGGAGACGCTTTGTATGATTGTGGAGAAAGTATGGGTTATAATATAGTCTTAATATAATCTTAAGTTCCATGCTTTGAACCCTGATTCTCACACACCAAAAGAGGAAAGATGTGTGTATGTGTTTGTTAGTGCTGCCTTTTATCTGGCAGCATGATTCCAGGGAACCGGTAGGTCTTGCTCTTGACCTTGTCTTCTCGTAGATTTTCCACAAGCCGTTCACTCACAGCCCAAAACAGACCTTATACAATACTTGGCCACATGATGGTTTAAAAATACTCTGTGCTTTGGAGCCCATTGGGCCTATGTTCAAATTCTACTTCTACAATGTATAAACTGGTAATGTTAGAAAAGGAAATTATTTCTTAGATATCTGCATCTGAAAAATTTCTCATAGAAATGGTAAAAGGATTAGATAATATATGTAAAGCACCTAGCATGGTCTCTGGCATAGAATTGCTCACTGAAAGATGCCTATTATTATTACTTAGGATATGAATTGTGTTTGAGTCCACACTATGAAAAACTTTGGATTGAAAAGTAGACTCATAGTGATCACTCATTTCTAATGCATCACAGGTGCACAGAAAAGATTAACAGTGGCAACAGCTGACACCTATTAGACACTTTTAACTTGGGCCCACATCCTGTAGTTAGCACATGACTCAACAGAGGTGAAGTCTGTTGTTCCCATCTTACAGATGAAGAGTCTGAGGCCCAGGGCGGCACAGTTAGGAAATGATAGTGCCAGGATTCAGACCCCAAGTGCCAAGCCCCGCCTGCATCAGGATACAAGAGGTCTAAAGACATCTGTGAAGGATGACTGAGGGGAAGGGATTTTAAACACACACTCACCAACATAAAGACCAAAAGATGAAGCATAAGCCCCTCTTCACAGTGTCCCTCCCTATGCACCCCAGGGAATGTGTACTTCTTTTGAGAAAGTAGAAATGGCCCCTCATTTGGAGACCCATGAAAGAATGCTTGCTCTAGAATTTTAAGTTGAGGTATGGGGACCAGTGTGCTGCCACCTGATCCGTCTGTTGCATTAATTGTGTTCAGAGGAGGTGCAGGAGCCCCATTTTCTGAACTTCCGTTCTGTGTTAGCTGGGCCGTGTGGCAACGCCTTCCTCTTTTCATTCTAGCTGATTGTCAACAGCGGTAACCACAGTCCCTTCCTGTCCCAGAAATAAGTCTTGCCACACTCTCAGCTCTCAACGAGCTGTGAGCACTACATTCTGTTCTGCGTGGGGCTCTGCCACCTCCTCCTTGCCAGAGTCAGCCCTGTGGGGTTAAAAGTGTTTATTGAATTCCCAGAGGGCAATTTGAAAAGCAGTCGAGGTGCATGGGAAGAAGATAAATGCTCCAGCTCTAATATAAACAAGTGTTACATTACACCTAAATTGTTGAAGGAAGGTTTTGTGCTCAATATTGTATTCAGTAGAACATTTTTTTTTATATAACAATAAGGTTGATTAGAGAAAGCTCTGAAAGTGCTTTCAAGTTAGTCTGATTGTTTATCTCAAGGATTAAAAAAAAAAAGAGTAGAGTGGTAAATTGGGGGATAAGGAGAAATAGAAATTGAAGCCAGGACCTAGTTGAAGAGTATTTACCATCGTGTTCCTCTCTGGATTAAATTGAATTCAGAATTTCTCCTTTCCATAAGTTTTACTGCGGTTGTTTGTTAGCCATCAGTATCTTTTTTTCTCCCCCAAGGGCTCAGGACTAGCCTAGTTTTGCAGCAAATTTAAGGTGCTCTGAGGGTTTTTGACTGAAATAAAGAAACATACTTAAGATCTTTGAAAACCTTCTTACTCTTACCCTAGGCTACAGTCAAGAGACCATTTTCAGTGAAGCTTTAGTCCATGTGGCCATTTCTTGACCTTTCTGCCTCCTGGGCTAGGGGCTGGGTTGGGGGGCAGTCATGAACATGGCTGCAAATCAAGGCTGCTCAGGGCATTCAGCCTTGTCATTGGCAGAGTAGGTGGCTTTAGGGAGCATTGAGGGGGTGGGGGTAGGGGGAGATGAAAAGAGTATGTGGCTTTGCTTTATTATTTACTGCAGCTTAAATGGTGGGGGGATCCAAGTAAAATATGAATGCCTTCATCATCCCTTTACATGTTGGTGACTAGAATTGCAGGTTGTAAATAAGCATTCTCTCTTTCAAATGAGGGTTTTGGAAAACAGCATTAAGGAAGATTGATATGTAAAAGCTTATGGTCTTTGCTCTTTGTATCGGCCCCAAATATTTATTGAAGCTGGGAGAAGGAAAGGCAGACTTTCCTCTTTTCTCTCCCAAACGTGTGATTGTTTAGAACTCAAGTGCAACATCTGGATGTCAGATATACAGAGAGCAATTTATGGAGTGTGAAAGATTTGAAATATTCAGTGTCCTTTAGCGGGAACTCAACTTTCTGGGACTGCTTTTTTTTCCCCCTCCTATCACAAAGCAGGCAATTCTGAGATCGCCTTTGCCTCTCTGAATTAAAGCCTTTGTGCCCGGGTCCCATAAACAATGTGCTTTTTAAACAGAAGCCCCCCTCCCCGCCAGGGCCCTTTTCTCCAGCGTGGGCAGCCAATCGGGTGCACCCAGCCGCATTGCTGGAGCACTTTCTCTTCTGAGCAGCAACAACGTACTAATTTGATGCACACATGGATGCCTCGCGCGCTCTGCAAATTCATCACCAGCATCTTGCATTAGTCATCTGACGGACTGCCAAGTGTTTCATTTTCTTTTCATGTGACTTTATTATTACCACCTCTCTCCTGTCTTCCAAAAACCTCCCAAAAGGGATTGGAGCGGGGGGGAGGCAGCAGAAATCCAACCTTGCCTTTCTTTCCACATGAGAGCCAGTGTGGGACTGATAACGCTGCGGATGCGTTGATGGCAGCCTCGCGGAGCGAGACCTGCACTTAACTTGCAGCTGCCTCCCGAGCCGGGTTTCAAGATGTCCACGCCCCGGGTGACAGCCGGCGGGGCGCTGCCCCAGGCTCGGGCGGCGGTGCCGAACAGCAGTCTGCAGTGAGAGCCCGCGCCGCGGCCGCCGAGGAGCAACCTAATGGTGCCTGTGCTTTGTTTTAGTTCATCACATTTCCACGACTCATTAGGCACTTTGCCCCGTGCTCCTCTTCCTCCTCCTTCCGCCTCCCCGCCCCCAACCCACCCCCGATTTTTTGTCTTCCTGTCCCTCTCTCTGCAGCCCTAACTCTAGCTCCCGCTTCCCTTTTTGACAGTAACGGCACAGCCAACAAGATGAACGGCGCTTTGGATCACTCAGACCAACCAGACCCAGATGCCATTAAGATGTTTGTCGGACAGATCCCCCGGTCCTGGTCAGAAAAGGAGCTGAAAGAACTTTTTGAGCCTTACGGAGCCGTCTACCAGATCAACGTCCTCCGGGACCGGAGTCAGAACCCTCCCCAGAGTAAAGGTACAGACAGCAGGGCGCGCGCGGGGTCCGGGGGCGTGCAGTCCAGGCCTGTGGGGGTTGGGGTGGGGGTCCTGGTTATTCACGGGAAGGGAGGAGGGTGAGAAAGACCCGCCCCGCTGCCCCTGTGCCCCGTGGCCAGTGGGGCTCCTCCCAGCGCCCCCTCCTGCCTCCCGGACAGGTGGACCGGCTGGCCTGGGATGCAGGGAGGGAGGAGCAGGGGGTGGCCGCGCCTCTCTCCAGGCGCGTGATTCCTCCCTGAGGTCACTTTATAGGCAGCGCAGGCTCTTCTGGGCAGAGTGGCTGGCCTCCCAGAGGAATAGTGTTTCTTAGCCTTGCATTTCAGGAGCTCTTTCTAACCCCCCCCCCCCACTTTTCTGTTACTGCCCATGTAATTACAATTGCATTTCACTTTTCCATAGCCTTTGGGGATCTTGAAGTACCCTATAAACAGCAATAAGCACTGGCGTTAAGGAATAAAGGGTACACTTCTAGGAGGGATATTAATTCTTGGGGTCTAGATGGAGATCATTAAATGAAGTGTGCCTTTGGGGAGGGAAGTAGCACCCTAGTGGCCTGAAATAGTTAGCGCACCTTCAGAAATGCTTGTGGTTTACGCCCTTAGCAGTGGTAAGATTCACGTGTGCAATCTGGAGGCTGTCACTGCCTCCATTTTAAGGTGAGGGTGATGGGGAGGGAGGCACCCTTCTTAAACAGAGGCTGGAAACGTCTGTCCAGGTGGAAGCTTCTGGATATTGGAGTTACCCATCGTGAGCTCTGTGTAGAAAGGAATTTACAGTGTCTCCTCTGCTGCTACCATCTGTTCTCTGTCCATGTTTTCACCCCGCTTTGATAATTGTTTCTGTCTTCTGGATCTCTTGGTCTTCCTACCCAGGGCTCCCTTATCTCTTGGTGAGTCTCACAGTTGCTGTTTCCCTGCACTTAGGTACTTCTGTCCATCTTGGTACCTTTTTTCCCTGCTTCCTCTTATAAGAGCTCCTGTAAGCTAAGTGTATGGCTTGAGCACACACTTGAGTTGAACACATGAACTTGTCAGCCCATTCTCGTCTCTGAGCCTCTTCCTTACTGTCAAGGCAAAGAGCTACTAAGTCACTGTTGAAACTCTGACGTTCTGACTCCGAGAAACGTTGGGCCATCTCTTTCCCTCCAGTTGCTGAGGTCTGAGAGGACTTTTTGGAAATGTTTGAGAAATTTTGAAACCCCTTCTTGTTGCTGTTCGGTCGCTCAGTCATGTCTGACTCTTTGTGACCCCGTGGACTGCAGCATGCCAGCCTTCCCAGCATCATCATCTCCCAGAGATTGCTCAAACTCATATCCGTTGAGTGGGTGATGACATCCAACCATCTTGTCTTCTTTTGTCTCCTTCACCTCCTGCCTTCAGTCTTTCCCAGCATCAGGGTCTTTTCCAATGAGTTGGCTCTTTGCATTAGGTAACCAAAGTAAAACCCCCTAGATCACTTTTCTATCTTAAGAACTGTCACAAAACACCAAGAGTGTTTTCAAAAGAATGTACATAAGAATTTTGTCACCACATACTTGATTGTCCCATAATTTGAAAAATATACAAATAGGGCATGTCCCTAATATTGATCATATTTCTAAACTCTTTACTGACATATTTCCCAAATGAAGAAAACTAGAATGTGTTTTAATATTTTTACAGTATCCAGAGACAGTATAATGAATGGGCTGAAGCTGAGGACTTAGCTAAGAAGAGCCCTCCCACCTTTTAGAATAACCCCCACAGAAAACTAGGCCATAGGCAGTAAACCGGTGCTTAGGAGTCAGTAACCACAGTTCATCCTTGACTAGGAAAATGTGCCTACAAATTTTAGTTTATTCAGCATTTTTCAAAATGACTTCTGACACAATCATCAAAGGTTTATTGTTACAACACCTGGTTACGTGCATTTTAGCTTTTGAATACACATGTCCTACTTTAGCCAAAAAGACCTTTCTCTAAGTCAAGTAAGTGCCTGTGCCTGGCCTAGTTCTTACACTCTTTGCTCTTTTCCCCGTGATCCTCTGAGCAGTATCTTTATCAGGCTATATTTGTGACTTTATATTTTAACTTCATTCACTCAGTCTTCTAACTAACTTCATTAAAATAGTTTGCATCAACCCACAGTCTTGGAGATAAAGGGAGACTTGGTAAGGGGACTTACTTTCTTTCAGCCCATGCTGTGTACCAGGCTCTATGTTAGGAGCTTTGTCTGTGTGTGTGTAAGTCACTCAGTCGTGTCTGACTCTTTGTGACCCCATGGACTGTAGCCCACCAGGTTCCTCTATCCATGGAATTCTCCAGGCAAGAATAATGGAGTGCATTGCCATTTCCTTCTCCAAGAGCTTTGTATAGTTATCTCATTTAATTCTTACTGGAATCCTGAAAGCAGATGGTCCTAGTCACATTTTACAGATGAGAAAAATGAGGATCACAAAAAACTAAGAGATATAGCCTAGTTTACCCAGTTAGTAAGCATCAGAATAGAAATTTGAGCCCAGTTCATCTGTCTCCACGGGCCACTCCATCTCACTTCTCAATGAGATGAGGCCACATCCAGCCTTGAAAGTGAAAGTGTGTTAGCCTCTCAGTCATGTCCGACTCTTTGGAACCCCATGGACTATAGCCCGCCAGGCTCCTCTGTCCATGGGATTTCCCAGGCAAGCATACTGGAGTGGGTTGCCATTCCCAGAGGTCAAACCCAGGTCTCCTGCTTTGCAGGCAGATTCTTCACTGCTTGTGCCACTGGAGAAGCCCTGGGTCTGTTTTATTTCAGGATTGGGTCAGAGGTCCTTTCTCTAAGGGGTCCCCAAGTGAAAGACAGGAATTTTGCCCTTCAAGAACAGGGTTGATTTTGCTTCTGTCTTTGTCCTTAGTTTTTGTACTCCTGGCTTGAGATTATACATCACTGCAACTCGTGGCATCATGAGATAGAAGTCACAGCTGAAATCATTCAGGTCTTACCTTTGCAAATATAGGTCAGTTCCCAGTACTGTGAACTCCAGGTCTCACATCAAATATTGCTTGAAGTACATGGGCTGTCAGCCAAAGCTCGGAAGGGTTTTTGTTATACAGACATCTCTATTGTAACAGTGTTTGTTGTGATGGGATTTGAGCTGTATAATGACATTCCTCTTGGAGGATTACAGCCCTTAGCCGCTTACACATAGAGATCAACCATCACCACTTTTCCTTACACAGAGACCCAGGTGTGTCATACGTTACCTTTGTGTTCGTAGGCAAAACAATGAGCCCACATTTACACTGGTTCTGACTCCATTAACATAGTAAAATTGTCCTGCTTTCCTGGGGCTGATGTCAGAGCCTCAGAAATTAGATATTTGGAGGCTCTCTCTAAACATGGTTTAAATTATTGAAGGCTTTTAGGGTGGCCTTGATGCATTGCATTACTGACATCAGTGGTTCCAAGGAAGGAGACAGAATCAGGCATTTACCTCATACAGGTGAATTAGGTTTTTCCTCTCATTTTGTATGTGATTTGCTATTTAATCTTGGAGGCATAAAAACTTTTCTCTATTTTTGAAAATATCCTTTAAGGGAACCTAAACTGTTTCTTCTCTCACATAAATGTATGTGTTCATTGAGCAGCCTCAGCAATTCTGAGGAACCTGGCTCAGTAAACCATCGCACCTCTGAGGTCCTAGGAAGAGCATGCTTTATTGAGCAGTTATTGGTCGAGTAAAGATAGTGAGGAATACTATATAGTAGTTAAGAGCATGGCTTTTGACCTCTGCAGACCTCAATTCAGTTTCTAGTTCCATCACTTACTACATGCTGGCGTTGAGCACATTAGTTAATCTCAGCTGAAAATGGAGACAGTCCTCAGTGGGTTGCTGAGATGGAGAAATCGCGTGCTTTGCACAGAACTGGACTGTGGTAGGAACTCACTATGGTGCTAGTTGTTATGACAGTTATTAGTATCATCACTGTCCGTGAGCTCTAATGGGGACAGTGAGGCAAATAAATACACAGGTCGCTGTGATGTAAGAGAATGTGAGATAAGAATAAACAAAAAAGAAATGAGCATATTTGAATTGTAGTGGTTCAGAGGAGCCATGAATATAACTTGCAGCTAAGGAAATAGGACAAAATGGCATCTTTACCAAGTCTTGAAAAAAAAAAAATAAGATTTGAGTAAGTAAAGACATCACCAATTCAATGGACATGAATTTGAGCAAACTCCAAACTTCGTTTGAGATAACGAAGGACAAGGAAGCCTGGTGTGCTGTGGTCCATGGGGTCGCACAGAGTCAGACACAACTTAGTGACTGAACAAACAAATAAAGACAATATTGAACCTACAAGTAGATGGACTGGCCTGATTCTGGCATGGAGAGGAGAACATGCAGGTCAGGTTCTGGGAATTGTGCATTCTCCCAGAGTTCAGAGAAAATGTGAAATACAGAAAATGAAGGAAGAAGGGATGATGAGGAGGCTTAGAAATGAAGGCTGGGGTCAGTTCCTATAGAGCTTATATCTCAAGCTAAAATATGTGCGTTTTATTTCTTAGCCAAGGGACTGGGAAGGTATTTCAGCAACAGGGAGGGTGGCCAGGACCCTGGTGGCCTGTGTCAGGGAGCCTGTGGAGCCTGGACAGGACACTGTCATGGCAACGGAGAGGGAGAAAGCAAGTGACCCAGATGTGATCATGTGGGAGGAAGTGGACTTGAGAACTCCTTCGGGGCAGTCACAGTTGGGAGGTTGTGGCCTGACTAGGGAAGGAGTCAGCAGGTGGGAGCTGACAGGGAGCCAGGTGGTCAGTTTAGTCTTGATCACATCGAGTCTGAGGTGGCTCAGAAGAGTCGAGCAGAATGTGGGCCAAGGAAAGTGATTGTGTTTGGTGATTGGAGGACCTGGGAGCATTTCAGAAGGATGGGGGAGGTTGGGAGAGGGATCGTATAGGTTTCCATGCGGGTCTGTGAGTGAAGACTACCTTTTCTGGGAGTCAGGGAATGAAAGG